CTATATCGGTGTCTTTTCAGTAGATAGCGATGTGTCCTTCCATCCTTCTTTCCAATTTTGTGTATTTTTTATGCCATCCTATGTTAATGTGTTTTTTGAAGGGAAAAAAATACTGTTCTTCCATTTGCACTGAGTGGTAGGTACTATATGCACTATTGCTTTGTTGCATTGGCCCCTGTAGTGGCGTATTTTCTGAGTACGGACTTTTGATTCTTATACTCTGATGAATAATTATTTTCGATTGCTTGGGAGTGGTTGTTTGCGGTTTCCCTGCTTTAGTGAGCTTTTTGTTATTTCTAGTGTTGATCTTCGGAGATTTTCTAGCCTCTTCAAAAACTTTTCATTTTCCCTGACATACCTTAATTCATCATGGAGAGATGTTTCCAGATTTATTCTCACATTTTCATTTTTACTAAATATATGAGCCTCACACAAGTGCAAAAAAAGCTGCCTGAGATTGTCCTTATTCCAAAATAAATCATTTGAGATGATCTGCGGTTTAACAATTTGGTTACTGTCAATATAAAATGCTTTACTGTTCATGAGCATTTCTTGGATTTTCATGTCGACTTTCTGTATAAGCTCAGAGTTTCATGTGTTTTGTTTACTTAACAAGGTCTAGCATAAGATCCTCTGATATTTTGACACCTCTTAATGCATTCCGCGGACCTACATATACAAGTATTTTATCAAATCTCTTCATTCTTGGTGCATATTTAATTAATTGATTATAATTAGTTCATCAAAATTTGCTCCTTTCATGTATTGACAATTTAGATCAAAATTGTTGTCAGTATATTTTTCTGCCCAATAGAGATTCTTATATTGCCATGAATTTGTTACTATAAGCAGCTGTGGCCTTCTTTTGTGCTCATAATGACTTTCGATGTTAGTGTTGTTAGTTTGTTCATATCTCTGCTCTTCTAACTGCACTTCCTCCCGCATCTCAGTCTGCACTGACTGCTCCTCTGTCTGTGTTGTTTTATCAGGGCAAATTTTAGTGAGCTTGTACAACAGATCCATGTCTTCCTTTGTTAACGTAGGTTCCTCTGGTTTTCCCTCGGTTTGTGTTTCACAGGATATTTCACTTTCCATCACTATATCTGTCTGTGTTTCAGTCTCAATGTTTGAGGTAAATGTTTAACAATACTTTTCGCTAGTTTCAGGTTTATTTCATTCCATTTTTCTTAAGTCTCTGTGTACTCTGGTTAGCTCCTTTTGTAACAAGTTAATTTTTTGACTATATATGTCAACTTTTTTCATTAGTTCTTCCTCCATCTGATAGGCTTCTAGTTCCATCTTACAAGTAGCTTTCTTTTTGTTTCAGTTCCATTAATAGTTCATCATATTGTTCCTTAAGGATGGCACTTTCCTCAAATATTTCTTGTTTTTCTTTTGCTTCCATTTCGCAGAGTAGTGAACAATAGATTTTGTGGTCAAAGATATGAACCCAGTTTTTTTGCCTTCCCCAACAGGTCTTGTGAACAATAATTGCAAAATACTGTACGCACAGTGCAGTCCTAGTGTAGACTGTTTGTGACATTTATACACTGAAAAAAAGGATCTCTTTAACGAAATGAATATGACTTTCACTCAAAAGATTCGCGCTTTTGAATAGGTCCAAGAGCGATGTTTCTTGATCCAAAGTATCAACTCTCTTCCTATAGATTTTCTAAAATTACTTCAGGCAAGATTTTATTCTTTTCGTTCAAAGCTATTACTCTCTTGGTTCAAACCCAACATGTAAGAGCGATTTTGAGGGAAAAGCCAAAATATCTCTTGGGAAGATATTTGTCTTTTGAGTCAAACTTCATGTTGCTCAGTTGAAAGATTACTTGTTTTGATTGGATTCCGATTTTCACAGAAGTTACACGTTATCTGTATAGCAGTGAAAATTAATAAACCTTGTCAATTGTTTTGAGGACACTTTGGTGCCATTGACAATTCTGTACCTAAATAGCAAAGTGTAGGAAGTCAATAATTTCCTTATTTCTTCTTATTTCATCTTCTTCCCACTCCGCTATAGGCTACAAAGAATCGATTACAAATAGCATCGAGTGTCCATCACCAAACAAATAACTAGGCACATTTCATTTTTCTAGTTGATCAAAATCAGATAACTTATAATTTCTGCTGAAGATCGATACAGGGTGTATCAGGTATGAGTACAAATATTTTAACATGAGATAATATGGCCCATTTCAAGTTAAAAGTGTCCTATTGACCATGGGTTAATTGTTACTATTTTCGGAGTTATCGCAGAATTTAAATTTAGAAAAATGTCAACAACGTGACAACATTGTACAGGTATTCATCTCTGCCACGATATAAATGTAAATAAAACTGGTAAATTTGAAACTTTTTTTTGCACGGCGTTTATTTATTTCCATCTGTTTACGTGTTGGTTTGTTATTGGCTTTCTTTCAAATAATGTAAATAACAAACAACTTGCATTTTTATCACTTTTCTAGTAAAAATAAAAAATGTGCCACTTTTTTAAGTTGTGAATTTTGCATTTAATGACATTTTTGCACTAAACATTCAAGAGAAAAATCAAATAATACTTACTCAGCTACTTGTCAAATCCTTATTATGAAAATATGAATTTTTGTTGAAAAGTTCTCAAAACATTAAAATCAACTCGCAGATTTTTCACACTCACAACTCACACTTCTTGTATCGCGCAATCTTTGTAACACGGGCACAATGTTCTTCCATCAGGTCAGTGATTTTCTTTTGGAAAATCTTTCCCTAGTTTCACTGTGAATTCTGGTAGCTAAATGAGCATTTTGCAACGATTCTGCCTAAACAAGTATCTGCATATTCGATGTTTCTAAACATTTTATTTCCAAAAAAGAATGAATTTAAATTACGCGCGTTTCCCAACTAGAAAAGACAAATCAAGAAACAATTTATTCAGCTCCACCAAGGTTCAACCTTCAACCACCTTTTCTTTATTGTGCTGTGTTGCCAGATGATTAGATACCCTTTTACAAGTGAAATTTGTATGTTATTTTTCCGATTTTTTGTTATTGTTATTGACTAAAAATGCATAATTACTTAATAATTGGATAAACTTAATTTTTCTACATCTCATAATGATTAAAATTTTCTTTAACTTTAAAATATTCGTCAAAAAATGTTAAAACTTCGAAGGCCTTTTTCTTAAAAATGGTTGAGTTTGGACCCCATGTTGTAAAAACTTTTTTTGTTCAAAATGGGCCATATTTTCATGTGTTAAAATTTTTGTAGTCAAACCTGATACACCCTGTATTTTTTGAAAATTAACTATTGCAATTCAACTTCATTTCAATAAAATATTTATCCCGACCGGCAGATTTAGATTTTATTTTTCACACAAACGACCTATTTACGGAACGAAGCTCAGAAGAGGCCGCTTTCGTCAATCGTTCACCTGCACTTCTTTCCCATAATTCCCAGCGTGTTTTATTTTGGTTCTGGTTCTGAATAACAAGATTGTCAGGCAATTGGAACAAATATAATGTCTCTTGAACGAATAGCTTGCTTATCTATAATTTCCATAGCTCTCGAGAGAACATAAATTGAACTTGGTTGAGGAAAGGAACAGTCAAGAGAATTTTTGGATTTTTTCAAGAGAACCATTTCACTTGAACTCAGAATATTTTTCTCCAAGCAATAGATATTCTTTTAGAAGAAAATATTTTCTCTTGTCGCTAATAATTCCTTATCAAGAGAGTTCACTACTTTGGTTCAAGACTAGCATTTTTTTCAGTGTAGCTCATTTCAAATACTAATTATGGACAATGACAATAATATTTATACCGATGATCACCCGGCTAATTTGCAATTTTAATCAGACATCGCATTACAAACTAAACCAAACTAACCGGGTTATTATCAGTAAGTTTGATAATTTCTGATTAAAATTGCAAACTATTAATATACGTTGGCTACCACAAGAGTCACCATAGTGATGCATAAGATTCAGTTGCTTTCATGCCGACAGTGATGCTTGACCCAATTTATGACGAATCGAATTTACGACGAATTGACATATTCGACGAAATGACTTCACGGCGAATTGACGTATAGGATCAATTGACGTAGGACAGATTGATTTACGACAGATTGACGGTGACGCAACCAGGGTAGACGGCTCCCATACCGCTAACGCGGCCGATCATTTGAGGTCCCCACAGACGCTCAATTATTTTGCACAGTCCGACTGTGCAGGCCAATTTGCGCAAATTTATCTGTACCTGTGTCTCTCGCACACACGCTTAGTTTTTGGCACAGTTATTTCCACATAAGACGACAAACCCAGTTCAAGCAAATTTTTTCTCTATAGTGAAAATGGTTTGTGCAGGTCAAATTTCAAGCAGATCTTGAATTTACTCAGGCCAGGCCAACGGCCTGCACAGTCGGCCGGAAATATCCACAGACGTGTCGACATGCCTGCACAAACCAGGTTTGCGCAGTCGGCCTGTGCAAAATAACTGAGCATCTGTGAAGGCCTTTATAGTGCGTGAGCGTGTTTCAGCCTGTTGTGTTTACATATAATCTTGAACCCACGAATTCACCGCTCTTTCGCATCTGTATGTAGGTTATCTGTGACACTGGCGTCTAATTTATCACTGCTAGGTGGTCGAATCCGTTTTTTAGAGCGTCGTTGCTTGTAGAATTGTCTAGATAATTCGTCTCTTTTCATTTTGACTATTGGCGAATTTCCGCGTCATCAGGAAGTGCTGCAAGATTGTGCACGATTTACTCAACCTGAGAGATTTCAAACAATCATCAAATTAGAAGTATTTAATAGCTCGCTGATGAACACACCGTTGAGAGAAAAGCATTGTTCGTCTAGTTTGGGTTTTTTCACCAGAACGGGCTTCAAAATCTAATCACCAATCAAACCTCCTCAATAGCCTAGATTTCCCAATTTCATTCCTATCTTATTATGCTCTTATCATTTTAACCTTACTAATCATCTTCAGTTTCTTCTAAACTACTCTAAAATTTAGGTTGAAAATCTGGAAGATCTTCTCAAAGAAAAAGATAACCAAGTCGATATGGCTAGAGCTCGTCTCTCGGCCATGCAAGCGCATCATTGTTCTTCGGAGGGCGCTCTTAGTACTTTAGAAGAAGCGATTGGCGACAAGGAGAAGCAAATGAACCAACTGAGAGAGCAAAGGCAAGAAAAATTTTCTAATACATTTATGTAGGTATTTAATCTATTTTTATTTAATATTAAAATATGAAAATATAATTTAGGGATCGAGCGGAACAAGAAAAGCAAGAAGAAAGAGAGCTTCACGAGAGAGAAATAGCGGATTACAAAATGAAGATTCATGCGCTGAACAGTGAAGTAGAGAAACTCACCGCTAGATTAGAGAGAGCCCAAAACGATAGGGAGCGCGTAGAGGCTAAATTAGAGAGCTCACAATCTGAATTAGGTAAGATGTTGTATAACTCTTGTTAACCTAAATACAATATTCAACTTTCGAGGAAAATTTGCTTGATCAAGTTAAATTTGAAATCGAATTTCGATGAAAATTTGCTTGACTGAGTTAAATTTGAAATCGAATTTTGATGAAAATTTGCTTGATTGGATCAAATACGAAATTGAATTTCGATGAAAACCAGCTTGATTAAGTTAAATTTGAAATGTATGTTTTTGAAGGTAAATCAAAGGCCGAATTAGATAAGGCCATAGAATTTGGACGTCGTGGAGACGACTACGACGCTGCCAGACAGCGCACCGCACGCTTAGAATTAGAAAACGAACGTCTTCGTCAAGATTTGGAATTAGCCCAAGCGAAGACTACACGATTCGGTAGCAATATTTACAGTAGCTCGCACGAACTTGACCGAATGCACGAACGAGCTGACAAAACGTCTTCGGATTTGAGACGATGCCAAGCCGAACTCAGGGTCACTCAGGCTGATAGTGAACGTGCTCGGTCTGAAGCTCAAGCGTTGCAGGAGAAATTAGAAAAGTCACAGGTGAGAATCTTTTTTTTTTTTCAATTCATAAAAATAAATAGGTACCTATTATGAAAAACTGATCTGACCCAATTTACTTAAGGAAAGGTTGTTCTAACTGTCATCAACGAATGCTTGATAATTATCTACATTCCGTATAAACTCTGAAATATATTTTCAAGACGATATCGTGAAGAGAGTAACTTTTTCGATGTCCAGCACAAAGTATTATCAAAAATTTTGAAACAAAACCAGTCACAGATTTTCTATCCATTGTATCACCTCCCCAATCAGCATCCACATAACAGCATAACTCTTTATTGGTATTTCTCTCATTAACTAACTCTATTCCAATGATTGATTTAAAATATCTCAAAACTCTTTACAAATGGTTAAATGCTTTATCAGTAGCTTGAAACGTACTAAAGAAGTTTATTGCAAAACAAATATCTAATCTAGTTCCTAGCATAAGATAAGGCAGGCATCCTACTAATTCTCTAAAAGGTTTTGTTGTTCTATTGGAATCATCACATAACTCAATTCTGAGATCCTTTTTTATTTGAGTTGAACAACCATTACAATGTTCCATGTTGAATCATCTCAAAAGATCAATAATGTATTTTGTCTGGTTTATTCTTAATGTCCCTGTTAATCTATTATAATCAATCTCTAATCCTAGAAAATATTTCAATGCTCCTTTATCTTTCATTCGAAATCTACTTAATAATTTCAATTTGATGCCATTTAGTTGATGTTCATTTGAACCACACAAAATTGTCATCAACATATATCAACAGAAAAATTTTGTCACAATCAGTATCTAACATATAAAGACCATTCCAACATTTAGATGCTTGTTTTAATCCGAACAAAAAAAAATTTCAATTCAAAAACAAAATTTTGAGATAATTCTATTCCATTTGGTGCATAGTTATATACATCTTCATGTAAAATTCCATTTAAAAACGCGGTTTTCACACATAATTTTTGGAAAACATATCCAAACTGATTTCCTAGTATTAACAAAGCTCTAATCGTTGTCATTCTGGCTACAGGTGAATATATCTCATAATAATCTTTTTGTGCAAAACCCCTAACCCCTAACAACTAACCGTGCCGTGAATTTATCATTTTCATTTTCTTCCTGCGATTTATAAGAAAATACCCATTTTATATCTAAAATCTGACAATTTTCTGGTTTCTTGGTTCTCCCATGTATCATTAATTTCAATTGATTTAAACTCTCTATCTATAGCTCCTAGCCATTTTTGCTTGTCGACTCTATTCTTTATTTCAGTAAAACTTACTGGTACATTCTCAACAAAACTGCATGCATCAAATGCCATGTATAATTCATAATCTTCGTATTTTCGTGGTATTTTCACTAATCTTTTATTCTTTTCTCTATTTACAATCTCATTATCATCATCTGTCTCACTTTGATACTCTATTTGTCTATTTACCATTCCTATTGGTTCATTTACTATGTCTATCTTATCGAACCTTACTGTCAAATATTCTTTTTCCTTGAACTCAAACTCATACTCATTCTCATTAAATTTCACATCTCTTGCAATAATAATTATTTCTTCTTTTCCTATATCCCATAATCTATAACCTGTCTGAGCATACCCCATCATTATGCATTTATTAACTTTTGAATCAAATTTTCCTCGACATTCTTTTGGTATATGACTGTAGCATGTACAGCCAAAAACTCTGAAATTACTCACATTTGGTTTTGTACCATACCAGATCTCTGATGGTGTTTTGTATAGTCCGGCAGATGTCCCTCTATTCATAATGTAATTAATTGTCAAAATTACTTCTCTCCAGTAATATTTTGGTATTCCAGATTCCACCATTATTGCTCTAGCCCTTTCTACTAAACTTCTATTTTTTCTCTCTACCTTGCCATTCTGTTCAGGAGTATATGCTACAGTGTAATCTAAAACATACCCTTTTCTGGCACAATAACTTCAAAACTTATTCGAATCATATTCTCCGCCATTGTCACATCTCAAAGTTGCTATTTTCTTATTTAATTTTACCTCAGCCATATTTGCAAACTCTTTAAATTTTTCAAATGCTTCCTTTTCTGCTTTTATCATATAAACTACACAAAAATTTAAATAATTTATCAATAAATGTAACAAAGTATCTACTAAGATCATAATTTGATGGTGAAATAGGTCCACAAACATCGGAATGTATTATTTCTAGTATTCGTTTACTTTTGGTTCTTTCTCTGAATGTAAATCTAGTCATTTTTCCACTAACACATGGCTCACAAAACTCCACATCTTGTACTTCAACATCCTCTTACCCTTCAACCATCCACTTTTTAATTATTTCTCTCAATCCTGAAAATCCTATATGCCCATATCTTCCGTGCCATTTTACATAATCGTTTTCGTTACTTTCAACATTCATGGTTTCAGCTTTCACCAAAGAAAACTCAATTTCATAGAAATTCTCTCGTTTGCCCATTCCTAATACTTGTCCATCCTTACCTACTATTTTCACTGTGGAATTTTCAAATATTATTTTCATATCTGACATCTCGAGTTTTTTAACAATTAATAAATTTCTTCTCAAATGAGGTACATATAAAACGGTTTTAATTGTACAATCAATTTTCTTAGATCCTACATTAGTTACTGCTTTGATGTTTCCAACTCCCATGGCCAATAAAAAAAACATTGTCTTTAGCAACGGCAACTGAAATTAGATCTTTTAACATACTTAAACTCGAAAAAACTTCCTTTTTATTGACCATATGATCGGTACACCCAGAATCAAAAAAAAAACTATTTCTTTCACATACCCTGTTTTTTCTCCTATTTCTTTTTCTATAAGAAAACAAACGGTCCTGTCCACTGGATCTGACTGTGAACCTTGGAGTAAACTTTCATCTTCTGCCAATAAGTTACTTTCACTATTTTGAAATCCACCTTCTTTTGACCTGTTGCTGTAATCCCCTCTTGAACTGAAGCCTCTTGTGGAACCTCTCGTATTGAACTTCCTTTGAATTGAAGCCTCCTCCAACGTTGTAAGCTCCTCTTGCATTGTAACCTCCTCTTTCATGGTAACCTCTATTTTGAGAACCTCTTCGTATAAAACCAAAAGTCCACTGTAATTATCGTAATTACTATTTTGCCAATTATTTTGTGGACAAAAACGCCTTATGTGATTGGTTTAGCCACATCCATAACATTTTTTGTCACTATATTTCTGTTGTCGCAAAGGCTGTTGGCAATCCACTGCTATTCACATTCCTATGAAATAACATCCGTTTTCCACTTTCTGCCAAAAGTTTATTCTTTGCATCTTCATATTTAACATTAGTTGTATTCTCAACAATCGCGCATACAGTCTCCTAAGACTTTGGTAATGTTAATAACAAATTACATACTTTGTCCTCATCCTTTACTTCGCAACCTAATGTAATCAATTGCCTAACAATATCTTCAAATTCTAAAATATGCTCGTTTCAAAAACATTTGTCCTGGAAGCCCTTTCTTCTCATATCGATCTTTCAAAGCCGTCCACATCTGGCATGCATTATTTTTATCTCAAATTATATCCAGTTGAGCATCATCCAAACACTGGATTGGCATTGCTTGTCTTGTTTCTTATCTTTTCCTTTCTCTTTATCATCTTTGCATCCATTATCATTAAATTCATATTCGATCCATTTTGCCACTCCTTTTTCCTCTAGCTACATCTGCACTCTAAACTTCCAGGCTCCATAATTATTGCCATTTAGTAATTCAGTATTGTAATTGTTCTTTGCAGCTGCCATAATTAATTTTTTTTCAAAAATGTATTTTATTTTTCTGCTCACCTGGATGGGACTTCAACTTTTTAATTAATTTTCCGCCCTGGAAACTGCCTGGGCCCCATAACCTCTTGTAGTGTGATTTATAGTCAATTTAACCAGTTAGCTTTTCATTAAAACAGCCTTTTATTCAAGTTTCTCATAAACTTATGGAGGATTTTAGCGTATTATTTTTGTATATTTTTTTGAACTTGATTGATAATCTGTCACTATTTCACATGACCTGCGAGGACCTGTAGTACGTTCTATAACTAATTTTAACAACACTCTCTAAACTCTGAGCGCACTCGAAACGATAGATCCTGTTCATTTTAACTGTGAGAGTGTTCTCTTTTGCGTTCGGGTTACAATCGAGCACGTACCCTGAGCTCGCTCTCTTTTCTCAATGGATGGATGGATGGAGAACCATTGAAATTATTTATCAAATGTCACTTTTGAAAAATTATAACCTGAAATATTGTACCTACTCGTTACACCTTTTGCATATGTATTTCAGAGACCGTCAGGTTAATTTCAGAAAGCGTCAATTGCAATTTAGATTGGTAAATTGTATTCCGGAAAGCGTCAATTGTGTTTCAGATTATTTAATTTTATTTCGGAAAGAGTCAATTGTATTTCAGATTAGTAGGTATATTTTATTTCAGAAAGCGTCAAATGCATTTCAGACTAGTTAATTTTATTTCCGAAAGCGTCAATTGTATTTTAGATTCGTTGATTGAATTTCAGAAAACGTAAATTATATTTTAGAATTTGTCTAATGTAGTTCAGAAATCATCAGTTGTATTTCAGATAATAATAATATAAGAACAGATTTTCCCAAAACAACACAAGCAAGGTATATTGGTGACCCATTAAAAATTTCATTAATACACTACATTGATAACATCTGAAATACAATGGACGAGTTCTGAAATATAATTCACAATTTCTGATCTACAAATAAATAATCTGAAACACAAATGACATTCTGAAATACAAGTGACCAAACTGAAATACAAATGACTTTTTCTGAAATACAACTGACAAAGTTGAAATACAAATAACACTTTCTGAAAATAAACTCACACAACTGGAATACAATTGACGCATTTTGAACTAGAATTGAAATACAAGTGATACCTTCTGAAATACTTATGGAAAAGGTGTAGTAAAAAAAAAAAAAAAAAACAATTTTTTTGTT